AAAATTTTAAAAAAATGTCACTGATAATTAATCTTCATTAAATCATTAATAACATACATAAAGAATCGCTAACATTCATTTATTTCCCTACTCGCAATCCACTCTCAAAGATAGGCCTCATTTTAGGCCTTCTAATTGTACTTCCCCCCTTAAAAGAACTAAATGTTCACATTTGTTCCGTCCACTAGCGGTCCTACGTCAAGCTTCCGTTCGTGTCCCTAGGCACAGACCCTTCTACTTTTTATGATTATGCTCAATCAAATGCTCAGCAGGCAACATTGTGTTTCTAGCGCGTAGAATAGAGCACACATATCACTCTTAAACAAGTTAAACTCTTTAACTTGACGATCTTGATTAAAGTTGTAGCTATGAAAATTTCCAATAAGAATAGATATAGAACTTTTTATCAGTAAAATATGGAAAACGCTAGAAGACAATGAACAAAAAGCTTGGTTTTTCCATAGTAAATTTTTTTCTTTAATTTTGTTTTCCGTCGATCTTGTTTTCCGTACTGCGGCGTGATCAGAGATTTTATGCCTCCGAAAATCCCGGCGGCGCCGACTGGGAATGAATCAAGGTCTTTTGGGGTGAGAGGCAATCACGCTTACCACTACACCACCTACGCCGCTTCCCATAGTTATTCCCATATAAACTTCAAATGGTTTGTGCCAAGTCAGTTTGTTTCCGAATGAGTTTAAATTTTGGGAGGCTAAGCAGTACCGATTTGGTACCGTTTGTGCATCGTGGAGTGAAAATTTTAAATATTGCAACAGTCTACTGGAGCACCTTGGTTAAAATTAAATGTAATTTAATTTGAACTTGGAACGAATTAAAAAAAAACCAAAGGAGATTTTACGCGACAGTTAAAATGCTGATATTGTTTTTGTGTATGGGATTGATGTTCTACAACTCGATAACTCTATAACTCGATTGTCCCTTCAAACTCGAGTTGTAGATAATTGACTGAAAATCGGAAGAAGCACACTTCCGTCACAATAAATTTGATCATAAAGCCGACTGAATTAAGCTTCTTCACAATTGATCTGTGGCTAGTGCGCCCGGCAAGAGAAACCAGAAATCAAAAATATTTAGACATTGCAGTTGTTTAAGAACAATACAAACAAAGTTTGGAAATGGGAAAAAGAGACTTTTTTGACATGAAAAAATTGTAAAATTTACCTTAAAGTGATTATGCAACTAAAAAGTGACGCCCTGTTAACTGTGCGAACCTCGAAGCTGACAAGTTTCCTCCACCATATATCACCACGCTGCTTGTTCCACCACAAACACCACAAGCACGCATATTCACGCGAATGCGTACAAATTCGAGCGCATCTTGACGCTTGCATCCAGCTGGAGCAGCTGATGAGGGTCTGCCTGCATGATTGTTGATTTTCAAAGCATGTAACAACAAAACAACATCGCATTCACAGTCCGGTTAGAATCAGTGTGGTCAGTTCTACGGGTTTATCCGTGGGAACTCCATGGATTTTTAGATTTACTACGGACCTACGGACGATCCATAAAATTCTGCGGATTCTAAAATTTCTGACTCACCCCCCACTCATCACTTTAAAAAATACAGTTACCCCTCCATATGTGTGGTGGTTTAACCAATTACGCTTTTTTGTATTTTAATAAAGTCAAGCATAAATTAGTTATCATTAGAAAATCAGCTCAATTGGCTGAAGGACAACCGATAAATAGCTGTGGGTGGACGGTACCACCCACCGCATATATGAAGGATTTACTGTATCGCCTTGAATGACTGTTTTAGGAAAATGGTCATTAAATTTAGCAATAATTAACGCAGTGAAAACAAATTTATCTATCCATGGATCGTACTCCATGAAAAGTTAACAACACTGGTTAGAACCAATCATTAGAAGAGTCGTTCAAATATCTCTCTCTCAATAACAGTCTAATTCAGTTTTGAGTGTCGTCCTTCGCCGATATCACATGCCTTTTGGAGTGGACGGTAGATGCCTACCACCGACAGACTGTCGACCGGTCGTTGCTTTCCTTACCTTCCTGCTCCTTCTTGTCATCATCATCCGCCCTATCGAAGAGGAAAGTGCCCGAAAAGTGGTTGCTTACTGCGCTCACCATGCACGGTGGTAGGTAGGTAGGTAGGTAGGTAGGGGAGAACAGTCCATAATGCACTCCGGGGGTAAAATGGCCTCGCACGGTTTTACGTTGCTTTCGTATTACTAATTTTAAGATTTTATTTGCCATAATGCCAGATCCAGTGATGAAATTTGTAATTGGCGCTTGAAGATTTCGCGCAATATTGACAACATTATTTTTGACATTGTCACTGAAGGAATTGACTCTCACTTAAGGGGAAACGGGACATTATTAATTCGTGGAAATTAAAAAGCAGTTTTTTCGTTCACTATGTTCCAATAGGTAGGTAAGTAGAATGCAATGAACACATTTTCATCATCATAATTTTGGTTTTGAACGAGAAAACTGCTTTTGAATTTTTGAAAATTAATGACGTTCGCTTTCACCCCAACATTCGTCAAAAGCTCATTAGTTTTTTTGTCAAAGACAAAGATTCACCTGGTAAAAAAGTACTTTTTCGTACATTCTTCTTACCATTTATGTTATCCAGGCAGCAAACGTTCTCTTTGACGGCTCCATGAATACTTTTTGCTTAATTTGTAACGTGATTTAGCTAATAACATAAATTGCACATGTTTGTCACTGACTACATTGACACTGTCTTTAGTTTTGAAATATATATCTGATACTATACATCATCTGCAAGAGCTCCGTTTTCTGTGCACAACGATATTTTTGATCGATGTCATTTACTTCCATCGCGATTTTGAAATCAAGATTAAAAGCAAAATAACCGCTTACACTGAACTAACAAAATGACAGTTCGCTCTCATACAAAGTACCTCCGAGGGGCGCTAAGACAGTGATTTTTGTTAATGTAATCACACATATTTAAAATAGTATCAGTGCTCCACAATTGATGAAATTTTGGATTTCGGTTCCATTTGACATGCAGATTACGCATATGCAATTACCTCAATACCCCTTAAGATCCCAATTGGGTTCATTAGGGGTATTGTGGAAATTGCATATTCATAATTTGCATGTCAAATGGAACCGAAATCCAACATTTCTTCAATTCTGAGGCACTATCCTAAATAAGTGTGATTACATTAGCAAAAATCACCATCTTAGCGCCCCTCGCTGGTACTTTGTATGGGAGCGAGCTGTCAATTTGTAAGTTGAGAGTATGTTGTGAAATTCACGAATTGACAACCGGAAAGTTATGAAAAGCATCGTGGGGCCATTTTACCCCAGGGGTGCATTTTAGACCATCCTACCCTACCCAGAGGCCCAAGCTGATCAATCAGACTCAGAATTCGCAGAATACATGGGTGGGTCACCAATACCAAGCAGAGCGGCATGGCGTTTTCAAGAGCCGCATGCGCTTTACCTTCCTCATGCAGTTTGTGCAAAACAAAAAAGAAGAACACATTGATCCCTCTAATAGTGATACGATGCTTTCTCGTAATTTTATAGCATGGCATACATTCCCCAATAAAAATGTGTATGGATATTTTGCTTAACGGCAAGTTCAGGGTATCATCCAAACCATTTGTGGAATAGTCCTATCGTCTGGGTTATCGTTCGAGTATATGTAATATTATTTTATTAGAGTTGTTAATTGTATAAAAAAGCATGCATATTGTTCTGATTGTTTCCCAGTGTCCAACGAGTCCAAATAGGACATGTATCGGGAACTGGCGGTTTTTGAAACTCTGCTAAGCTGTGTGAGACGGAGTGGGTCAATTTCATAATTGTGCACGTATCTCAGGAACCATCTCTAGTAAATGAGAATATCAAATCAATAGCCTGTTTTAATATTGAAACTGGGTAACAGAACATCAAAAATTGCTAAAATTAAAAAAAATATCAAACATTCTATGGGACCGTACCTGAATAATAGCAAAGTCAGTTGTTGCCATATCCAATGAAAAGCAGAAATCATTAGAAATTCATATCCTGCTATTATATTTGATCAAGCTATTGGTATGTTGTTTAAATTATTTAAATACACATTACAAAAAAGTCATGTAAATTTCAGTGACCTGAAAGCGACACTTGCAAGCGGCCGTTTTGACATAAAAATCAGTTGAAAAGGACGAGAAAATCAATTCAATCAAACGTTCTTTTCGTCGAGTTGCATATGTTTCAGTTTCAGGACACTTAATTTTACATGGCATGTTTGATTACGTTCCATGATTTACGTCAAAGCTAAATTACGTCCCGTTTAAAATTTTTTTTTTAAGTTTGTAATATCATAACACTATAAAATTATGCTTTGATAGCAGACCTACCAATAACATAAGAAGATGTTGATAGTAAAATTTGGTAATAGTTTGCTCTGGTTTTGTTATCCCCTCTATCCGGGATGCGTTCAATCCGGATAATCTGCTATAGTCGTCCTGCGTCGATTAGTTTCTCGTGTGATGTTAAAGCTTTCCGGTGTGACCAAAATCCAAAAAGTGGTTGAAAGCTGTCGAGTCGGGGAAGTATTAGAATCTTATCATTTAACTTCCGAATTCAGTTTCTTCAATTAAATAACCATCATTGGATATAAATCCGCCAGCAAAACTAATGAGTGATGAATGCTTTGCTCTTGCTCCTCCCATTGTTCAATCTTAACAATGTTGAAGTCATTTAAAGTCTCAGTTAAAACACATTTTCCTCCATTCATGCCGATTCTCATAACCAATATTACTTATACAGCTTGGCTAGGGTCACTTGAGAGGTACATTGTGCGTCACCAATACACAAAACACTCCGTATGCCGCACCGGATAATCTATACCATCATCGCGTCGTATGGGTATGGCGCGCGGGTTCTCTTGAACTACCATCACCATCGTCACAAGCGTTATAAGTGAATTCCTAGTATTTTGTTTACAATCATCCCCTACTGCACACTTGCCGTCGCCTTGTTCCGATGGAAGCGATGCATGCTGCCGTTTGGTGTCAGTCTTAAGTTAGCACCGCGTTGAGGTAGACGTTCTATCAGTTCCGACCAGTTGACTCATACGCAGTGTGTTCCGTGCCGGTTAGGTTCTGTGTTTTTCTTTCGTTTCGCTTCGCGCCGTAGGCTCAATTAATGCCGATTGACGTCGTGTGTCCGGATCTTTGCAGCAAGGATAAACAAATTGTGACACCCAACCGTCGATTCCTGGAAGTTCGGATCGAAACTCAGGATCGACATTCACGTCGTATGTAAGCTGTCAAGGAGAGAGGTGAGGTGAATTCAGTATCGGGGAAGACGATAAAGCAGGATGGAAAATAGATTTCCCCAAACTGTGCGAATTCCACGAATTCCAAGGGTGTTGGAAAAGTTTTCACTGAACATCGTTGTGCGAGGATGAACGAAATTGCCAATGAATGTTTCTTAAATACATACACTTGCTGGAGGAATGGGTTTTCCGAAGAGGTGATTACCATGCGTAAGCATTGTACCGCTTCCAAATTCCCGCGAATTGACCCAAGGGGGAAGATAAGCATTGCTATCTAGCGACTGTGTGACGTCTAAATGTGTGATTCAATCGGGTATTGTGCGAGTTGAAAGTGATATAACATCGGTACGACCGACATACAAACAAAGCGTGGAAAAGCGACCGGTGAAAATTCGCCACCGTTCGTGTGTGCAAACAAACACTGCTGATGATGAGAGCAACTGAAGCATTACAGACTTACCAATGAATATGAGACGGCTGTTGTCGTAACCGGCTGTCATGCACACTGTGAAGTTATACATTATGGATCAGAATGGTTTGTGAGTGGTAGCTAGAAGGAAACGTTGTGGAAATTCAATTGGGGATGCTGTTTTGGGATGAATTTCTACATGGAGTGCCAAATAGAATATTTGAAAAGCACTGATAGCATCAAGGGATATAATGGAATCCTGTAGGTTTGAGTTACAATATACAAATCAAAGACTGACTAACTGCCATCAAGAGGAAGTATTGTTACACGCATTTACGAATATTTCATAAATGGAGAGTGCCTGGTCTGGAATTTTCCTTTAATCCATGTTGATTACTCTGTTGAAAATTATATTTGAAGTCTTTATGTGCGTTAACGGACAAGGTCCAGTTGTTCAGCATACGAAGTATCAGGTAAAATGTTCAGTGCAATAGTGGCAGGAAAAAAAGCAAATCAGGGGTCGTCCATTAATTATGTCACACTTTTAGAGGGGAGGGGGGGTTTTAGAAACTGTGACGAGTCATACAAAAAAAAATTAAGTTCCATACAAAATATGTGACAAAGGGGGAAGGGGGGGTTGAAAATGGACTAAATTTGCGTGACATAATTAATGGACCTTCCCTCAGTAGTAACGAAGATTTCAAATGAATATGTAAATTCAAGCTGTTTTATTCTATTTATCGTTAAAATTTTAAGTAATTTCCAGAAGATCTTAGGTTAGAGCTGTTGTCGTAAATTTTTTGCTAAGTTATGGAAATGTACCAGTTATGGAACTAGTGCTCCGCTAATTGTCATACTTTAGCATAGTTTGCCAACATTTTTCTGAAGCGAGAAAGTATAATGTATGTTTTTCATCTCAAGAGAAGTGAATTATGTTACAGTTTGAGACACATACAAACATGTATTGCTTAAATGAAGTATCGATCAATAAATATACTTTTTCGCTTATTTTATGTCCACCACGATTTGCTCCTTCCCCCAGGGCTATTGTGTGGCCACTTCATGGCCTACTCCATCGAGAAAAGATGATATGGCCTCTTCTGGATTGTCCATTAAAATTATGCGAATATAGATATGATTTACCACTTGCTCCAGGGGTTCCGGGGTCACCACGTGATCAATGAAATCCAGAAAATATTAGATGGCCTCTTCTGAAATGTCCAAACAATAATGAGAACAATGATATGTCGCTTGATGGATAATTAGGTACTAATTTTCAATAAATTCGCACATAATAGCTTTTTTCTTAAGTCCAGGCGTTCTCAAGATATTGCGAATTAATAATTATAGTAATAATAGTTTTCATCATTTTATACTATCTTCATATTTCATACTTCATATTTATTAAATTTTATATCGTATTTGCCTTGCTCCACATGCATGTTCATTACATAAATAAAACAATTAAAAAAATTAAAGAATATTGCTATCGACCTTTTTTACAGGGTTTTGAGGTATTTTCTAAGTGTACACACTAAGATTTTTAAACAGAAAATTTGGAACAGCTGAAAATTCGGCAATCGATTCGGTAATTTTTACTTTTTACAGTACGTTTAGCTGAGCTGTCAAAATGTATCGATCCACACTGCAAAGTTTGCATTTGAAATACTAGTCTGTAATTGTTTACCGAAAATGCTGTAGAACTTTTACCGGCCAATTAATTTTGTTTGGTAAAAATTACCGATTGTTTTGTTACTCATAGTGCTGTTATCGATTGGAAAACTGTTAACAGCATTCTGATTTGGAACATGAAGGTACCCAGAGTTCATGTTCCTTCATTCCCTGAATTCGGTGGGTGCATTTTCCCGATGCATCTTTTCACTTCTGCAGGGAACGCAAATGCTGATAGCGCATGGATGGTGATGGAGGTGGTGCCCGAGCTGACCGCATAAAAAACAAATGGTGAGATCTTCATTCATCACTTGAACCATCTAAAAAATATAATACAAATTAATAATAATAATAGCCGGCGCCGGTGGTGTAGTGGTAAGCATGACTACTTTATCCCCCAATGGGTCTGGGTCCAATCCCAGCCGAGGTCGGTAGGATTTTCTGAAGCATAAAAATCCGTCTTCCTTCGGAAGGGAAGTAAAGCCGTTGGTCCCGGCCCATGTGTGTTGGAATGGGTGCGATATCCTACGCAGGTGTGGAAGCCGCCTTCCTGCAAATTCGATGGATGGCAATCGATGTCCGTCGGTGATTGGCACTAGATTGCGGAACAGAGACCGACGTTAAATAAAGGAAAGAATAAGAATAATAATAATAATAATAATAATAATAATAGTGAAAATATTTTTTATTTTACTTACTTACTTACGGAAAAGATCTTCTGTTCCTCCATCGAGAGCTCAAATATGTTGGAGTATTTCCTCAATTTTTAAATACTTACCAATTGCGTACTTTATAACACCGGAGAACCGAGTCATAACCAACTTTAAAATGGTGAGTAAATAATAAGTTGGACAGCACGTAATTTACCAATCGTTCGGTACTTTTTCAAAAATATGGTGCCTATCTGTACATTTTGTTGTATAAAACAATAGTTTTGCAGTACATTTGTTATAGTTTTAACAGTATTACGGAATTGCAGCCACTTATAGTTTAATTCCGTAGTTTTGATTACAGTTTTCGATAATTTTCTGTAAATTACATGAATTCGTTGTTTTTAAATGCTGAAAAGCGGTAAAACACTGTATTTTACAGAACAATCGGTACAGACAAAAAAAGTACCGAACATAATTTAAGAAGTCCACCGCCCACTCTGTGATGATTTATTAGCTAGAGAATGATCTTTAGAAGAGGGTAGGTGGATAGTTCCGTTAGAGTACGGCAGTATGGAAATTGAATAGAAGTTGAAAATGAGCGAAGGGCCATTAATGCGACAGTTTTTAAAGATAGACGCACATTTTTGCCTAACCCGTACGATGTACGCGGGGACTTGAAGTATGTCTCCAAGTCCACAGGCAAAAATGTGCGTCCCTCTTTTTGCTCATAAACTGACTGCGGCTGTGGAATAGTTCTAGCGACGTTTTCATCACTACCTAAAGCCCCACGTAGTAGTGATGAAAACGTACATCGTACGGGTTAGGCAAAAATGTGCGTCTATCTTTAAAAACTGTCGCATTAATGGCCCTTCGCTCATTTTCAACTTCTATTCAATTTCCATACTGCCGTACTCTAACGGAACTATCCACCTACCCTCTTCTAAAGATCATTCTCTAGCTAATAAATCATCACACTAAAGCTTCATGTTAGCATTTCCAACCAACTCTGAAAATCGTTAACTTCGCGTATGAAGTAACATAAAAACACTTTGAATGTAACAACTCAAGGCGGGAGTAGCCGTCAACAATGCTGATGATGGTACAGCACGCAACAACCACCCTACTGCTTTCTCTCTGAGATGATCACGTTGGTCATGACGAGAGGAGCAACACAATAGTTGGGTAAAGAAGAACTGCATTATAACACACCATCGACTGGAAATGCTCTCGCAACGTGGGGCTTTAGGTTGTGATGAAAACGTCGCTAGAGCTATTCCACAGCCGCAGTCAGTTTATGAGCAAAAAGAGGGACGCACATTTTTGCCTCTGGACTTGGAGACATACTTCAAGTCCCCGCGTACCCACGTACGGGTTAGGCAAAAATGTGCGTCTATCTTTAAAAACTGTCGCATTAATGGCCCTTCGCTCATTTTCAACTTCTATTCAATTTTCATACTGCCGTACTCTAACGGAACTATCCACCTACCCTCTTCTAAAGATCATTATCTAGCTAATAAATCATCACACTAAAGCTTCATGTTAGCATTTCCAACCAACTCTGATTGTATATGAAGTCATTTTAATAAACTTTGTCCAAGAGGTCAATTTTCTATCTCTCAAGTGGATGAAGTTAATGGTTGAAATGGAGAACAAGCGCTTGTACTCCCTTAAAAACCTTTTTTCCATAACTTTTTAGTTTGATTTTTTTTTAATATTTTCAATGTTCTAGTAAGTTGTAAGTGCTCCTAAAATTGCACATTTGCTATCTCTTTGTTTCAAAGATTTAAGTCCCTTTTCATCTTTGTATTTGAAATTTTTCATGAATCAAAAAAAGGTGAATGAAGATTTAAGAACAAGTGAAAATTATGCTAAATGTCTCGTTAATTGTGTATGCGCTAGAAATAGCGTAAATTTACATGATTTTTTGAACTGTGTAGTATAATTGCTAATGGACCCGTGTGGATTTGTGGGTTCAAATTCCACTGGTGCCCAAATTTACCCAAACGCACGTGTCTTGCCGATCTTGTATGCTTTGCTTCTCAGTATTCGAATTTTTCCAAACAAAAAAAGTAGTGGTTGGTATCGGTAATCTGTCACTAGCGTGTGCAGGGGCAAATAACTTGAAAACTGACACCGTCAATTGATAGGTGATGATGGGCATGTGAGACGTTTGTTGTTTACCGGTCATTTCGCTACTGTACGTATTTTTATTTTAAAATCCAATTTATAAAGCCCTAAACATCCAAATGTGGTTTTAAGTGATTGAGATTGATAATTAAAATTAAGTTTTGCTAATTGGACCTTTTTTGATTTGAGATTGGGAGCTTACGAACTCCATGACCGGCCTGATTGCTGAAATTACCGGCTTTTTATTTGATTCTAAAATAAAAACACAAGCAGTACCGAAATTACCGGTAAACAACCCTATTTGTGTCACCATAAATAGAAATACACGACTTTACACCCCCCCCCCACCGCCTCCCCCGCCTCTGCGGATTCTAGACTAATCGATGACCGATTACCATGTATAAGTGCTACCTGAGTTTTTTATAAATAGCCATACCGGCGATAAACTGATAACAATGTATAAAACGAGTAAACAATAGTCCATGCATGTTAAACAGCCACCGTCCGAGATTTATTACACATTTAAAAATCATTTGGTAAACATCAAGTGCTACTTTTTTCGTTTACTGATAACGATCCTAAGAAAAAAAATGAGTCAGTTCCCCAAAATGATAACGCATCGGCATGGGAATTAAATCCATTTTTCGCCATACTAAGCTCAACCCGCACTTTATCTCTCTTTTTCAAACGGGTTTGACCAAACAAATTTAATGGGTTTATGATAGATGGCTTCAAATTTTGTTATCAATCCATACCGTTGAATTTGATAAAAAGTCACAAATTGTTGGGATGTTATCAATGCTTGTTGAAGATGATGGTCCCACATTTTACCCCTATAAAGTTTTGAGCTGAACGATTTATCTTTAAGATAATTAGGTATGGCATCTTAACCAGATCAGCAAATAAATATGAACTGTTTACAGTTGCTTCACAGTAATATACATGCGAAAAAGCATAGGCGTTCACCTTTTCTGTACACTAGCAACTCTGTAATCTGATACTTTCATAATTTTTAGAAATGTCAGGAGTGCTCACGAACCCTCAACATGCAGCTTAAAAACTTCAAATATCTTCCAAAAAAGATTAAAATTTATTTTTTATCAAATGTTAAAATCAGTCATCTATATCTGTACAACGCGTGCGAGGCTCAAACATTTGTAGACTACTAACATTTTTTTTTATTAACTACTAATATTAAATCAAACAATCTATCATCACCATCGTGGCGAACAAAAAATGTTTTGGAGTTCTACAACAATTATTGAAAAGTCGTTATGACAGCTATCCATACAAAATAATCCGTTAGATATAACTTCGTCAATTTGTCAACTCTTAATAAAAATCACTGGATAACAGTTTTAATGTGTGAAATGCAGTGTATCTTAAATTCTGTAGGTGTTGCTGAACGATTGATATGTCTAGGCATCGAATTTAAAACATTTATTGCTTTAAAATATAATGATGAATATAAATGAATATATATGACGCACAAGTCAAGAAATGTGGTGTTCTTATATCAACCGTGTTTCTAGTATTATATCTACGAAAATGAACACCGTAGTCAAATATACAGTTCTTTGCTTCACCGACAACCATTGTAAGGCGTCCAGCATCAAAGTTGAAGAAGTGAATCTGTTGCACTCAAATTCAAACGCATTATTTTACTCTGCATGCGCTGAAATCTCGATATTTGTGTTTCATTGGCCGCAAATAAAATGAAAGGGCAAAATTCTAGATGAGGAGAGACGATTGATTTTAAGAACTATATTTTACTGGCAGTTAAGTCGTTTTTCAGTCGACAGAGAATTCCATGCTTCTTGGCAATTTTCTTGATGACATTGTCAATGTGAGAGTTGAACTTTAGTTTGTCATCAATAATCACGCCAAGATATTTAATCTCCCGAACGCGATCAATAGTCTCATCATCAATTACAACAGAGACATCATCACCTACACGATTCCGCGAAATTACCATTATTTAGTTTTACTTATATTCAATTTCAATTGTTTATACTTAAGCAATGTACTTGAAGAACGCAAATCTTCATTCACGTGTGAAACGGCTTCTTCTTAATCTTTAGCTGCAATGCATAACACAGAATCGTTAGCAAAAAGATGAATATTGCAAAATCGTAAAACTCGTCGTATGTCATTAAAATACATGATTAATAAAAGGGGCCCTAATACATTTTCCTGGGGCACTCCAAGGTTATTCCCCACGGGACTGGAAATAGAATCATTAAAAAAAGTCCTTTGAGTTCTGTCACACAAATAGCTTTCAAACCATTTATATGCAGTACTTGTAACTCCAAAGCGCTTGATTGATCGTAACAAAAAGGGCTAGAAATTGTTTCAAAAGCGCGGTTTAGATCCAAATAACAGCAACAATCGTATCTTTACACTCCAAGTTATTTTTCCACTTCGCTAATATCAAATCCAACGTGGTTTCACAAGAATGACCTTCCCGGTATCCCGATAGTTCCGGTATCAACAAACAGTTACTTTTTAAATATTCTAACAACTGGCCTTCTACAGCAACCTCTAAAATGTTTTCTAATGTGTGCAACATGTTGATGGGACAAAACTCGTCGGCTTTAACAGTCCCAGCAACTTTTTTGCATAGGACCAACTAAAGATTCTTTCCAAATTTTTGGCACGTGCTCAGATTGCAATGATTGATTATTAAGGTCTAGCAGCGTGTGTCGAATGACATGAAAGCTGTTTTGAATAACTCTAGCATTAACATTATCTACTCCAGCCATTTTTCCTAAAGAAAAGCAAATATTTTTAAGTTCATCTAATGTAATTGGGTGGAAACCATCAAATCTACTGTTACTATTAATCGGCTGTTTTATTTCGTCCCGTTCATCGACCAGTTCAATAGATTGATTGCTCAATGAAACAATCTCCACGAAATAATCATTAAACTTAGCAGCAATTATTGGTTCTGACTGTTCTAATATGCCATCAAAAGCTATGAACCGCTTCATCAAAGATTTCAAAATTTGTTGTTTTGATGCTGTTCAATTTTCCTCTGAATATATTCACATCGAGTTTTCTTTATTGACTGTGAATATTTATTAAGTGCGACCGTGTACCTATTTCAATGATTATCACTATTAGATCTATAAAACTTTTTGTACCATTTGTCCCTCTTACTTTTACGTATTATTAGAGGTCCAAATTGTACGAGCTGTTCGAGTTTTTCAAAGAAACAAACTTGTGTTCAACTAATTGATTGGTACAAGTTTTCAAAACGGTAGTAAGAACAGCTGCATGTTCAACCAATTTCCCGGTAACTGATGGAAAATCCACGCTTCTCTCAACAAGATTCGAAACAGCTTGCTTCGATTATTTCCTCCCGCACTTCAATTTAAAAAAAATCGTTATCGTTAACATGCTCTTAAACATTAATCGGATGGATCTGAACCGCTCTATTGGAATCTGAAGAAGGAAACACGTCTCCAGAATAATATTTCTTAATTCAAAATTTTTTTACTCCCCATCTTGATTGCAAAGTAACTATAATTATGGCCGTAATTTTTTGCACTTTTCACTGCAGAAGAGACAGAGATGTATTTGCAGAACAGTGTATTTTTGAAGATTTTGGCAGATGTTTCATGCGTGATGCAAACATAAGTATGTTAAGTAAATTTGTACAAATGTTCGGAAACAAAATGATAAATTCAAATTACCCGAGTTTATAGATCAATTAAGTAATAAAGATAGCAGATCATAACTTAAGAATGTACTGGGCTCCAGTATGTCGTACTACTGTGTTTGGTATTAAACTTGTAAAAAGCCGATCGCGTTGCAATTAATTAGCTTTGCTATATTGGCTTAGCCTGCAAAAATACCAAACAGCGAGTATGTTATTAAGTGTGTAAGTCCGAGATATGGGAAAATTTCATCAATATTTTGATTCTAGGTAAGCAAATGAATTGAATCGTTCCTTTCTCCATACATTAAAAATTCTCCCGCAAATCGAGATTATAACCCAATTCTTTCAAATTGTGCACAGTTATTTGGGATCTCAATACGCATTGGGGGGTTGTAAAGTTGAGCCACCATAGTGACCATAATTAAAAAAAAAAACATATATTTGGGATCGCTGTCATATAGTATTTAAATTATGTCGTGCTATGTTTCCAAAATTGCAAGATCTACAATGTAAAGCTGTATGATATATGACTTATGTACATTAATAACATATCAAAACAACAACTCAACTCAAACTGTGTAGATCTAAAATAGGTTCAGCCGCTGGAAAATAGCATGCTGCAAATAGAATAAAGTTGCACAATTCTTCCGACCATGTCGCGCCCCCGGCTATTAGGTATGCCCATGCAGCTTCGGTTGAAACATTGTAATTCAAAATGGGTTGTTACGGAGAAGTGAAATCATACAATCATCGTTCCAAAGGCAGCTCATAAAGCAGCAACGATTTCTCAGGAAGCATTTCCTTTCCCCACCCGGGCTCGTTACATTCCTCCACCCGCGTGCTCTACTCCCGCAGTCAACCGTTCCTCACTCTTCATTCTTTTCTTTATTTCAGGTACTAATTAAACCGGCAAACCTTGGCAAGCTTTCTTGGAAAATATTGTCATAACACGACGGTGGCCAGAGAGCAGATCGAAAACTCACATCAAGACGAAACCCACCCCCACCGCCGTCGCCACCGACTCGGTCGCTCTACATGGGTTTGTAATAACTTTTAATTGATCTTCGAGTGTCGGACACTTTGTACTGGGACCGGAGAGCCGAGTGAAGCTTTTATGAAGGTTTTCCAGCTAAGCAATACGTGAGATGTGTGTATTCCACTGACGTCGTCACAGCAGCAGCAACAGGCGTCCGACGTGATTCATTAGCAGACGTGTTCGAATATCGTCATTAACAGCACTAAACTGGCACAAACCGAAACCCAACAAACCGACAGTAGTGACTCGCGGACGGTTTGGGAAAAAGGTTTTGCAATCGATTCGCCAGTAGTCGCGTACAGCCATTAGAAGAGGATCAACGGAGAGATAGCTCTACGATCAAGATTCCAACTACAGTGAATAGAAGACGAAGAAAAGAGGAGGAAGGTTGAAGTTGTCGTAAATGTCTACTCGTCTGGAACAGGGCAGCGCCGGCGAGAGAAGAGAGCGAGAGGTCAAACAGGAATGTTTATGAGGCCTCATGGGTGTATGTGAATAAATGATATTATTTTTTAATTACTAGTTGTTAAAAGAGAACAGAAAAAAAACAACAACAGTGTAAAGTGCAGCTTGATGATCGTCCAGCCGGAGTCAACGGCGAACTAGTTATTTTTATAATTAAAACGTCTTTCGAATTGTAGTGTTGGTAGAATTACCGAGAAAAATTGATGAAAAAAAAACTGCTTGCTCACCAGCAGTTCTAGTTTGATGAAGAACAAGTAGCGGTGGAAGTCGCCAGTCCCGGGCAGCAAGTTGGTAAATTAGCGTGCAATTTCCGAGGACCGTCACAATTCGTTGGTAAATCAGCGGTACCTGGAATTTTGGTGTGGCACCGCTTATCCGGTCCGTTCGTCGCGACCAGCGAAGTCGCAACCACATCGAGCGGAAGTAAACGGGCCAGAGGGAATAGATAATCAGTCAACGAAAATCCATCGATTACAAACGTGCAGCGCTGGGTTGTAAAGCTTTCGACAAACAAGCTCCAAGAAGAAAGAGACACCGCTTAGTGGTAATGGGAAGGTTTTAAAACCACTGCGGGGTGGCGGCCAAGTGACAAAGCGCTGTTCCAAAGCGTGTGGCCCGAAAAGAAGAAAAGAACGCGTGAATATATATCGTTACAGAAAAGTTGGTTATTTGATTAATTAATAAGCATATTAGTGTCATCGTTTGGTGTACAATTTCCATTACTGTTTGGTGTTCCGCGTCGCTTCATATATCAATTAACATAGTTGTAACTAGTACGCTGTTTACACTCATATCAACGCTTCAAAACAGCAACCGCTCCGTCACATCACCGCAGCGAGGTGTGTGGTATCAACAGGAATATCGAGCTTAAATCAATCAACATGTTGTTTCACAAGTGCATCTCGTCCCCTAGTATGTTGGCGGCAACGACGATGCCAACGACAACGACGACGAGAAGGAGGAGAAGGTGTCACTATGTCGGTGATGTTAAACTGCTGACAGTTTTGATTACTGCCTGTCTCACGGTGGCAACCGGATTGATTGGTAGGGCTCACGGCGAAGATCACTGCAGTGAGCATCGTTATAATGAGTCCCTTGTCAGTGATTACATGCAGTTTACAAAAGAGGTAGCCGAACGGGAGTATGGTGTTATAGGACAGTTCAAAAGTATGCACTGCTGCGCCAAAGGATACAGGAGCATTGAATGGTAAGTGTTGGTTTCCGATTTTAACAATAGATAGACTAAATGAAACGTTAAGTGGCAGTTTCACCCTACAGGACTCAATCAGCTAATCAATTCCAAGCCGCATGCTATTAATACGTCAAAAACTGACTCGTCGTCGATTATGATAGCTTATAAAGTTATAAACTCATTATACCAAGCCTAGCTGTATGAGAATGTTTTGTGTGTACCTTAAATACAAATTACGGATTTATCTATACGATTTCGGATAATCAGAGCCCAGATCATCCGAAGTCAAGATATCGTTAACAGATCCTCGTAAATATTTGCATTATAAACTTAAAACATTCCCCGAATCATTGATTCTACGGCCAGTGTTAATCGTTTCCAATCGATCCATCGCCATCACGGACCAACAGCGTTGCATTTCGTTTTATCTCATTCATGATTCGCAGAAGATAAACATTTGCTTCTGGTGCAATATTTTTGCAACATTTTCCTCGGAATTCATAATTTATCTTGGAGCATATTTATATTACGACTATGGGTTTGTTTACTTTAAATAACGCTCTGTGGTTTCCTGCTGCTATGTGATAGAAGAAATCTCGCAAAAATTAACATCAATGTCTTCCCAGAACACATGCTAAATTAATTTCATCGGTTCTGCAAATTCTTACATAAAATTAAAAACCATTTGACGAAAATGAGGATAACAGCGATCCGCTGTCAAAAGGACCTCATTTGAATGGATGATTTCAATTTGCTTTGTCAATTGACGAAAGCATGGATTTAAAATCAAATAGTTAGACATGTTTAACAAAAAATCTGTTATAAGCTTAAGTCTTGAATCCTACTTGAACTATTGGTTTTTATTTTTGTCTAAAAAAAAATTACTTTCCTCAAGTGCGAATATTCAAAAAATGTTAGACTAGCTCAAAATGTAAAAAATGTTATAGGGAAAATGTCTCTAATATTGGCCTATGGATCTAAAATTGGGCCCATCGCTTAAAATCTGCTATTTATCCATTTTATCTAGATGAACGCGTTATTGGGACGTTACTAATGGATATTTTTGGTTGCTATTGAAAATTTAGTCGATTGCTGAATTAATGTATGGGCCCAAATTAGGGACATTTAGGCCGACATTACCTGCATTTCCCCTATCATTTCTGCATCATAAAATATGGTTTATTAGTACTTTCTTATAACTTATCGTTAATATTCCTTCAGCAGCTGTGTAAATGGTCATTGTTTTCTTATATGATACGTTATTTTTCTAGTTTTCAATAAACATAAAAGATTTTTATAAATAAAATATTACTTAAGTCCATTCGGGGCTATCACATTTTCAGTTTACACACTAAGATTATTTTACCGAAATCTGTGATATTTTACTGAAATCTCAACAGCTGAACGTTCGGTAAACAGTTCGGTGAATTTTCACAGATTTCCTGTAACTTTTCAATGAATATCTGTGAAAGATCACCTAAAATCTGTGAAAAATCACCGAACTGTTTACCGAATGTTCAGCTGTTGAGATTTCGGTAAAATTTCACAGGTTTCGGTAAAATAATCTTAGTTTGTACATTCATTTATTTTGCATGATTCCTGTTCTAAATATGACTGTATCATATGAAATCACGGTTTGCATCAGCAGGTAGATAATCAGTCAAGAAAAAATATAGCCATAAATTGGCAGTACTTCTGAAATTTAATTAATTCTACAGAAACTAATTAACTAATCATGTTTGTATTACTTCATGCGAGAAATTAAGGAGTTACATAGTTGGATATGTTTAACGTCAAATATCAGACTTAAAGGGAACATTTTAATTATATAATTATATAAAGTTTTGGAGATAATTTTTGGGCAGTTTCGAGGAAGCTTCTGGGATATATCTTAAGAACTTTGGGAACTTTTCTAGGAAAGTTATTGATTGCTTTGAAGGGTAATTCTATGGGTAATTTTATGAAAAGCTTTGAGAAAGTTCTGAGAGAACATTACAGATCATCTGGAAGAACTTAAGGCATTAAGCAACGACGGGAACATCTACAATGCTTCAAAAGCACTTTTGAGAAGCTTCGTGGCTATACTTTTTGGAAGTGCCGAGAAATCTTTAGGTATATTCCGAGGGAACACAATGTTCTGGGGGAGCCTTTTAGACAACTTCAGAGAAACTCGAAGAGAACTTCACGGAAAAATCCAAAGGAACATCAGGAAAGCTCGGAGAGAAGTTGAGTCAAACTTGAAGAAAAATTACGAGAGAACTTTAAGAATGTTTCGGGGAAACTTCTGTCACGTTCCGAGGAAACTGCATGGATTATCATAGGGAACATGCTCCAAGGGTGCTTAATGGAAATTCGGTAAGAAACTCATAGTCAAATTCTGTGAAGTTTTGAGGAAACTTTCGGCATTTTTCGAGAGCGTTGTTGTAATTCTTAAGAGCCACCCACATTAGATCCGTTTGCGATGAGTTGAGGTATATTTGACAGATAGACAATAGATTTAGCTGTAACTTTGCGCAACGCGTCCGATCCGGATCTTATGTGGGTGGCCCTTTAGAGAACTAGACAGAGAATCCGAAAGAACTTTAAACTTTTAGCAAAACACGTTGCAAAGTGGACATGTTGTTCAAGTCGCTAAACTCAAAATAGAAACCAATGGTGGGAGAATGCGGTGCTAAGCTAAAATAGCAAATAAGAAGGAGCATTATAATAGCGATAGCGATAGCCGGTTCCCGTAGCGGTGCTCTTATAAGCTGTTCTGCAGCTAAAAATGTTGATTGGGTTTGGGGATAACACGGAAGAATCTTTCAAGATAAATCAGAAAAAAAAGTTTCAGAGGAAGATGGAAAAAAACGGTCATGGGCGAAGTTGGAATATTCTACCAAGGGAAGTCAGAGGAAAACTTCAGAAATCGGGATAAGCTTCCTAGGAGGTCGGCAGACAATTTCAGAAGTCAAAAGTCGAAAGAAACATCCGGTGGAATCCAGAATGGTTCACGTTGTTGCCAGGGAAAATGAATTCGTCTAATTTTACTTTCATAATGCTATTTTAAATTAGACGTTATATCTACCAATTCCTGAAAAATTGATAAAGAGTAAAATTGCTGAGATATTTATCTTCAATCATGTTTATGGTTGTATCGGATACGACGCACAAATGAAAATGTGTTGATCTTATTAAACTAGTTTACAGCATATTTGAACTTTGTATGCTGATGGTCATTTCCCATGTAAAATCATGCGCTGAATCCAAAAATGTAAATGGAATGTAATTAATATTATTATTATTATTATTTGAAACTGTAATAGTAATGGGTGCTATCGACTGAGAAAGTTTACCACAGGGGGCTTATCGGCTTGCAGTCACTAAACAATTGAACAATCACATATTTCTCCTAATCCGACGTTTCAATGTTAATTTCATCTTCTTTGGGATAATGTTCATATCAAACTTCCAAAACCTGAATTGATAAAAAAATATTATCAAAATTAGGTCCCCAATACTCTTTAACCGCCAGATAATTCAACAACGATGTTTCAGCATTTTTTAAAATATGAGTGACTAAAATCAGTTTATTCCTTACGAAATGTTTTGTGTTCAGTGTATTTACAGGAGAAAAAAAATAAACTTACATCGTTGTTAATGATAATATCCAAATAGATTGGAAACAGTTTTTCCAAAATTTACTTTATTTATTTTTTTCATATAACTTGGACACAGAACGCTGTGGCATTTTGACGTCTATAATTATTTTGATAAGATGAACAACTTTGTCGAAGACGTCAAGTCTCCAGAATGTCAGAGTAAATAGATAGATGTTGGTACCATCTACTCGATTCAGTATTGAACTATCTGTTTATGTCAAAAGATGGTTCTTAGCATTGTGAGAAACTTCGCTTAAGACACCAAATCATGAAAACGCTTCGTTTTTGAGTTATTAATTTAGTTCCACTGGATTGCATTCCAGGTTTATCATTTGTAAAAGTTTTGCATTTGTGTATGCTATATGCATTTATATAAGATAAAAAAAATTAACATACCATGGTTATTGATTTTTTTACCGTCGATCTTGTTTTCCGTACTGAGTCCCAGGGAGGCAGCTCCCACACTTAGACCATTCCTATCGACCCAACAACACATAGATCGTGTACCAATGGTTTTACTTCCCTTCCGAAGGAAGGCGTGATCAGAGATTTTATGCCCCAGAAAATCCCAGCGGCGTTGACTGGGGTTGAACCCAGACCCTTTGAAGTGAGAGGCAATCACGCTTACCACTACACCACCGGCGCCACTGATAGTTATTGATGACAATATCGAAAAAATAATGGAAAAAACGCTTTTTGCTCATATTTTTTTGTTTTCCAAAACACTCGAAAACACTGGACTTGAAAATTTTGACGTCTTCAGCTAAGTTGCTTTTTTATTAGATAAACAGCTTTGTCTAAGATGTTTAGTCTCTAGAATGTTAGAGTTAAAAGTAAGATTTTGAGGCCATCTATGCGAATCAGTTTTGCACTATTTGATTATACCAAAAGATTGTCCCAATACTAATAAGCAACTTTGCTTAAGACATCATGTGCCGGAAATGCTTCGTTTGGGAGTTATTAAATTTGTCCCGCTAGATTGCTTTCCTGGCCCACTGTACAATGGCATCAACGTGTAGAGGAAATTTTCCCCTACCCGATGATGCTGTTGTTTTGCGTGGGTGGCATGCGCCTTGCGAGGAAAAATCATACAAAGATTTCTTTACAAAAGCTGATAGACTGCTAGTGTACTAAAACTGTACTAAAAATATGGAAAAACCCGTTAAATAGCATCCAAAAGTTGACTGAATGTTTATTTAGGAGGTGTAGAAAATACAATGTATATTCCCGTTTCTTGAATTCGTCACTTTTTGGCAACCAGGTTTTGTTTCACGTCCTGTTGGGATGTTTGCTGGCATGGTACCACCGGAAACCATCTTGCATACAGATTCGCCGAACTGTACAGTGTGCCGCAATGAACCTTTTCACCAAATC